CATAATGTTTATTATCTTTAAAAATATCTGAGGCCCATGTGGGTTCAGAAATGATCTTGGAAAGAAATATGATGCTGGAGGCTGACACCTTCGTTTGAGCAGGCCAGGTTCTTGGTTTTTAAAAAAATTGCAATGATTTCTTAAAATGTAAACAAGTCACAGGACAAAGCCTACACTATACTAAGGGAGATGTCTTTTGGCAAATATATGCCTCTGGAGCCATGTCAGAGACCCAACTCTTGCCTTGCCTTCCTCATTTCAGGAAACCTAAAAAGATATCTTAGGAGTTATTTATTTCTATTTATTTCAGGAACCTAGTCTAAACAAGAGGACTACTTACAAAAAGTTGTAAAGAATGTCAGAAGACAAAATGAAATACTTTCTCCCCTTTTATATGGGAGTAGTGCTAAATTGTTTACTGTTTTAGCAAATAGAAGCGCTTCCATTACATCTGTGCTTTTGTCATAATAAGATAACTACAGAGATCATTATTATTACTTTTGATACTATAGCTGATAAGGACGAGCTCAGTATGATGGGTCTCACTGCATTTTTACTTTCTTTATTAACATACTACTGTGAAATATTTTCATGAACAAAAATATTCTAAAATTAATCAAACATTTAAAAGATTTATTTTGCATTTGAATAGAACTGAACTGAATACTTTATTGAATACTGTATTTGGCCGCATGTGGTTAGACACACAAGGAATTTGTCTCTGGTACTGAAGCATTCAATATACATGCAAAGTCACAGAGTAATAATAATACCAATAAAAGATGGAAATAAAGCAGATAAGAAGAAGGGTAAATAATAATACCACAGTCCTACTACATGGGTAAGTATATATAGACATTAGGCAACACTGTGGGAATTAGATTTTCAGCAGAGTAATAGCACAAGGGAGAAAAAACTGTTCCTGTATCTAATTGTTTTGGCATATAATGCCCTACAGCACTGTCCTGAAACAGTTTATGTCTAGGATGTGAGGATATGTTCTCAGACTTCCTTCAGACCTGCGCAACAGACAGGTCTTTTGTGGAAGGCAGGCAGGTTGCAAATGATCTTTCTGCAGTCTTAACTATTCATTGGAATCTGTACCTGTCCTGTTTGCTTGCTGTCCCAAACCGGAGAGTTATAGAAGTACAAATAACAGACTCAGTAATTCCTCTGTAAAAGTGTATCAACAGCTCCTAGGGCAGTTTGAACTTCCTGAAGTGATGCAGGAAAAACATTTTTGTTGTGTGTTTTTAATGATAGGTCTAACGTCAAGTGTCCAGTCTTGGGAGATTATAGAACCCAAAACCTTGAAGGAAACTACTGCTGATACTGTACTGTCAAATATAGTAAGAGGGGATAGGAAAGGAGAGGTTCTTCTAATATCTACTATCATCTCTACAGTTTTAAGCATGTTTAAGCTCCAGATTGTTGGACTGCAACACATCGCCAATTGTTCAACCTCCCATCTACACAGTATATGGTGACTTATCACCATCTCAAATGAGGCCAATTTGACTATTGAATCATCTGCAAACTTCAGACTTTTTTTCCTAGAGGTGTGGATGCCATGGTTAAGATTGTTTAATTGCAGTGATAAACTGGATAAGGGCTAATAAGCTGAATAAGAATTCTGAGAAGGTGGAAATACTATGGATGAATAGTTCCTAGGTCTAGGTTGTTGAAAAATTGGCTATTCTAAATGAAGTTGCGCTCCCTATCAAGGCACATATTCTCAATTTGAGGTGCTCTTTATCCATCAAGGACCCAACTGACCTACTACTAGCTTTTTGCTTTTTATGCCTACTACTAACTGAGGCCATTACATCAACTGTTCTTTTTTTATAGACAGGAATAACTTGAGTATAGCAATAACACTTAGACTTATATACCGCTTCATAGTGCTTTACAGCCTTCTCTAAGCAGTTTACAGAGCATATTGCCCCCAACAATCTCGATCCTCATTTTACCGAACTTGGAAGAATGGCTGAGATAATCTTGAGCCAGTGAGAATCGAACTGCTCGCAGTTGGCAGAGTTAACCTGCAGTACTGCATTCTAACCAGTGCACCACCATTGCTCTAGTAGTAATGGCACAGTGTATGGAACTCCATATGAGGCTTCTCTTAGGACTGATATGGTTTGCCATATGTTACTGCTAAAGCACCAATTGCTTGAATGCAGACAACTAGAGTACTGACTGGGATACTATACCACATAGATTAAATTTGTGCTGGAAGGTCTGCAGTGGTTGACTGCCTGCCATTGAAAATTGATTTTAATGTGCAAGTCCTAAATTACAGTTCCCCAAATTTTTCAGCTTCGCAGACCAGCAGGGAGGAGAGGGGGTGAGTAGGAGTGCTTCTATGTGAGTCACGGGCAGGTGCACCCTCAGTTCCATTTCACGAGCAACAGCCACACAAGCATGCTGCTCACACAAATTGAATGCACATGCACTGGTTCTAATTGGCTCACAACCCAGTAATGGGCCGTGGCCTGGGGAGTTGGAGATCTCTGTTCTAAATTACCCAGGACAAGGTAGCCTGACTCTACTTATATCAGTGTCCCAGGGATCTGTGATTTTCAGAAGATATCTGCTGTGTCTTAGAGACTTCAGTTTTACGGTGACAATCGCGTCTGTCCTCTGGAAAGGCTTTTCTTCTGTTTATTCCAGGCCCTGTACTTAATTTGACTTTCTTGCAATTCTAACTGTACCAGTTCATATACTGGATTGTTTTCATAACATTTTTATTGAATTTGTAAACTACTTTGTGGGTTTTTCACTGAAGCACACTATGCAAATACTTCAAATAAATAAGCACATATAAATAATGGATACCTATATTGTGTTTTTTTAAAATTAACAATTATGTAGATACAAAAAGAAACATGAATTGCTTAGAATATTATCTCACAAAAACTGAGAAACAATATAGAAGGTTTAGGGATTACATTTGATCACTTGGAGTGTTTGTCCTTAACTGACTACTTTGTATTGCCAGCAGCAAGGTAAATCAGGCTCAGTTGGCTAGTTTGAAGAGAATTTTTGTTCCTCTTTGTATTTTGCCTTGCAAGCTAAGCTGTGTCTTGTGATACTTTTGTATATCCCTGCTTTTGTTAAAATTTGAGGCGTGTGTGTTGTGGTTAAATCAGTGCTGCTGCTTCTTGTCAATGAATGCTAGCTCTGGTGTCTTTCCAGTTAAGCTGTGTGTACCTTTTGTTTTTGAAAATAAAGAGAAAGCAATTTAAAGAAAGGGAAAAAAAAACCTTTCATTTTCAATGGTACCTTTTATACAAAGATACTTTTTTGTTTGGTGGTAAAGAAGAGATTTCTTGGGAGGGTGGACTGGGTGATTCAAAATGGCTCAAGCTCTTACTAAATTCCAATCTCTCTCTCTCTCTCTCTCTCTCTCTCTCTCTCTCCCTCCCCCTCCCTCTCCCTCCCTCCCTCCCTCCCTTCCTTCCTTCCTTTTGGTATTTTTTCTAAATGTAGCTCTTCACCCAGACTCCTTAACTTCTGAACACCAAAGACAGATTGCAACCCATTTATGTTGTCTTATGCTATAAAATCTAAAATTGAAATGGGGACACTGTGTCTGGATTTTTGATAGATATGATGAGAAAGTATTTCGTGTTAATATTTGAATAGTTCAATTTGGTCCTGCAAATTCATTTAGAGATTTAGAAAATACAAGAAAGACAAGGCGAAGTACCAAAATTTTGACTAACTGAAAATATGAAGATTATGTATATGCACATTAGACATGGAAGATTGATGCAAATGAAGTATACTCAGCCAGTCTTGATCTCTATAATGTGGAATTTTTAAATTTAGGATCCTAAGATCCTTGTTTCAGGTATGGTGTTGGGACTCGAGAGAAGTAAATACTGGTAATCCAACATTTTCAATTGCAGATGGTACTAGAAAAGTCAAAGTTACCTAAAAGTAGTGGCTGAGCATTTTGTATATCTCTATATAAGCACATTTTTTCTTTATTCAATTAATCAGTTACACAAATGAATATCTGATTATTTTAGAAAACCTCAAAAAGAGCGCTGTATTCAAAGGTTGCAATAATCTAAGGCTTTTGCTATTTGTCTTTATTCAAATTAGCATATCATGCTAAAGGTAAAAAGGAAAGCTTTCTCTTATTTTGCTTAAGTATTTTCAAAGAAAGTTTTTGAGGTTCTAGTGTTTTAAAAAGCCCTTATGTTCTGGCTCTTTTCCCATATATTTGCCCATCTTGATTGTAATTCATATTTAGAAGACAATAGTTCTCTTGCCTTGGAAATGTGAGTTGATTTTGGCATTTGTTATCAAAAGCTGCTCTAGAGCACTTGGGGACTTTTTCTAAGAGAATCCTCATAATAATAACGTAGTTACGTTTATCTCTAAGAATTTAATGCAGCCACCATCAACAGAATTATTTCTTTCTCTATTCTAGATTTTTTTAAAAAAATGAGGCTCACCAAGGCAAGGAGATATATTACACATTTTCAGCATGCCTCAGGTATCTTCAATTGTCAGGAAGAGGTTTTGGCAATTTCCTAGTGTGCATCCTAGAAAAATAGGTTTGGAAGGGAAACTAAGAGGATATCCAAATATAACTCAATGCACACTTCAGAATTCTCTACGCCAACCAAGAGCCTTGCAGTTTGTTAATATTCATTTGCTCTTTGGCTTTTTAAATAATCAACCTTTGCTGGAACATACAACATCATTCAGAAGAGTTCAGTACAAGATACATGCTTGTTTTATCTGTGCATATTGCATAAAAGTTCACCCAGAAACATACACAGAACAGTTGAATTGCTTTATTCTGTATTAATAACCTATTTACTGTTCAGAATCCTAAGTAGAGGAAATGTCTTCTGCCAATTAACCAGACATAGTTATGTCAAAGTCTTGATTATCTAGTGCTTTGAGTATGGGAAGCTTGCCTCCAGTTTTCCCATTACTGACTTTTAATGGGATTGTTTGTTTGTTTGTTTTTCTTTCAGAGAATCAACTTCCTCCAGGCTTTCCAACTATAGATATGGGCCCCCAGCTCAAGGTAGTAGAGAAGGCCCGCACAGCTACAATGCTTTGTGCTGCCAGCGGCAACCCTGACCCCGAAATCTCCTGGTACAAAGATTTCCTTCCGGTGGACACAGCTGCTAGCAATGGCAGGATCAAACAGCTTCGTTCAGGTAAAAAGTTTTTCATATCCTGAACCTCTGTTATAATATGTGTCTCTCCGATTCCATTATTGGATTCTGCTTTCAGGAAGGAACATACATTACTAGCAGATCCACTTAAAAATACAGGTTGAAAAAAAAAACAGTTGCTCGGTTAGTCCATGGACAGAGACAATTAAGAACATCTTGTCAGTTTTGAAATATTTATTGTAATTCTGAAATGTGTTTTGGATTCAGAGACTAAGCTTTGACATTGAAATTTGCAGTTTTAAATTCTGAACAACCATGTCCACTGGCTATAAAATCTTATCCTTAGCATTGAACATCTTTTTCAGCTGAAAGACGTTGTGAGATTCTGCAAGAATGAGTTGTCAATCACACAGCATCTTAAAATCATGCTATGTATATTATTAATATTTTAAATATTTTAGTCTGATTGTTCTAAAAGGAATTAAACATTTCAAGGATGCTATTATCTTCTGCTGAAGCTCTGTCCACTAGTAATAAAAAGCTATATCAGTGATGTTAGGGAGGGAGAGAAGCAAAGGGAGGGTTGCTGCAGTTGTAAGTGGAGTTTCTGCTTCAATCAAGAAATCATGTTACCCATAACCAGTGTGATCAATACCTATATCCTAAAATATATCCCACGGTTACAGGTTTATATTTAGCCTCTTTCTAACAACTGTCAGACTCTGAGACCTTTCCATATAAAACAGTGAGCAATAATTACACTGATATATTTACATTTTATGTAATTTCACAGTGACCTTTACCTTCTTCTCAAGATGTGTGTGGTGAAAGGAAATAACACCCTCATTAATTTAATTTGAAAGGTGCTACACAAGCAGCATTAGGAAAGCATGCCATTGGATACTTATTTTCCATGCTTTTAAATATATTTCTGTATCTGGAATTGCAAATGAGTAGGGCAGCACTTGAGTACATGGTAGGCTCTCAGTAACATTCATTTCACGTAATTCCATTGCTGGTAAGCAAGCTTAAGAGGAAGACTTGAGTTTAAAAACAAAGCACGTTTAACATTGCCATCATGTCCTAAATTTGGATTGGTCTTTTTTTCCTTCCATATTTCAAGCATATTTCCAGAGAATTTCATTTGGTATTCACACACTATTCTAATTTTCTCCAGTTATTTAAAGGAGACATTAGCAGATTTAAGAGAATTTATTCAACTATAAGTTAAATCAATATTTACATATAAGCCTAATAAATACTACACATTCAAAGGAGAGTTTGAGGTCATTGTTTGTAAGGACAGGGAGGAATTCAGATAAGCAAAAGTAGTATATTCATGGAGACCATAAGTGGAAGCTAATTGAAATTTAAGATTTTAAAAAAATTAATTTCAAGACAAATGTGGGTTAAGTTTCACTCAAAGTCCATCAGGAAGAAAAAGAGTTCTAAGTCTGAAACTTGTAATATAGGCAGAAATTTTGTACCTGCTTAACTACTAAAGACTCTGGTTTCTTCAGACACAATAAGAAAATAAGTTTCTTCTTCCGGTTTGCAGAACCAATAGGATTTTCGCTATGGAGTAACATTTTCTAAGTATCAAGGAAACACTCCGGAGTGTGCCTAGACATCCCTTTTTCTTGTGTGTGGATAGGCCTTGAAAGCATACATATTATATCCATGTTATCTTTCTTATCCTCACTCACAGATTCACACATATACACAAACACACACATGGGATTACTGTGAAGAAAAGATGTTTCATCACACAGGATTATAAGAAGCACAGCATATCAGGTTTAGACTCAATATTGACCCCTCTTCATCAGATCTCATCAAGTTCATTAGTAACAACAGGAAAACATATCCTAGTGGTCTAGGACTATTGATGCATAAAGTTTATTTACTAGGCGCATAGGTCATTAGAGTCATTGATATCATAATTCCGAGCAGTATATGTATCTGAGATTTGTAATGTAAAATAAATATCAGAACATCTCAGTGCATAGAATATCATCATGAACAGCAGGAACATTAAAACCCTATTTGGAACTAAAGATGGTATCTTCCTGGAATTATATCATTTCCAAAGTTGCACCATCTTGTTCCTCCTCATCCAGAATCTAACATCCTCCAGGATCTGGACAATAGTTGGAGAGCATTTTCTGTTCAGTCTTGATTAACATGTAGATTTGAGTGTCACCTATGTCAAAAAAGGATTTTGCTTTATATGCGTTCAGAGTGTACCTCCAGCAAAATAGTAATGGTGGGATACAGATAAACAAATTAATAACTTGATAGGTGGACCAAAATGCCATATCCAGCCTGAACATCTGGCTGTCTGTGGAATGGATCATAATGATATCCGAAAACAAGTGGAGCACCACTTAAATACCATTGACGTTGATAAATTCACCATCAATTAATTGCAAAGGGAAGCTTTGCTCAGAAGAGCTTACATCCTACAACAACACTGATACCATCAAATATCAATATTAACTGGTCCCAGGTCCTTGGGAAGGAGTCAGTAAGTTGATAAAAATGCCAATCCAGTCTGAGCATCTGGTTGACTCTGCAAAAAAAAAATCATAACAGCAGAATAGAAGAGAAGAGAAAGAACTGAAAAAGGTAACAAAATATAAAGACCTGCAAATAGAAATAGAAAAACTGGCAAAAGAAAGCAAAGATTAAACCAACAGTAATAGGTGCCATGAATGCAATCCCAAAACAACTAGAGCACCACTTAAATGCCATCAGCATTGACAAATCCACCATCAGTCAGTTGCAGAAGGCAGCTTGACTCAGAACTGCTGACATCATGTGATGATGTCTTCCAATACCATCAAATATAAACATCTGCCTATCCCAGGTCCTTGGGAAGGACCTGATAGGTGAATAAAAATGTCAAATCCAGTCGAATTCTGGCTGACTTTGCAATGAACCATATAAAAATTCCAATCAATGCTGGTGTCCAGTACTCTTAGTAATAATTTTCTCACCATTAAATTAATGGTTAAATGATTCATCTATGGGGTAAAGTGGGCAGAGTTCTCTGGGATCCTGCATGTCATAGACTATCATTCTGCTGTCTATTGAATTATTTAGTCTAAAATGAGGTAATAAATACCATTTTAGTTAATAGCAATTATGTTCCACTTTAACAGACCTGTTCAGCTTCCCATAATCATATACAAAGATAACATACAAGTAGTCCTCAACTTGCAACTGTAATTGAGCCTAGAATTACAGTTGTAAGTCATTGCCATTGTAAGTCAAGGCATCACATGATCAGATCTGTTTTTTTCTTACTTATTTGTGTCATTCACATTAAGTAAATGCAGTAGTTGTTTCACAAACACCATGCGCGCTAAACCAATTTTCCCCAGTGGGTGTTTTTTTGTCAGCAACCAGAAGTAAATGCCAGAAATCAGGAAAAAAAAGTGACAGTGTGGTCATGTGACCACGAGATGTGCAAACAGCCATAAAGGTGAACCAGTTGCAAGCATCCAAAATGCGGTCACATAACCAGGAGAGGGTGCAGCTGTTCTAAATTCAAAAATAGGTCTCCTTGGGAGATTAATTGTAACTTTGAATGTTTGCTAAATGACTGGTCATAAATCAAGGGCTATCCGTATTCCACATCTGTGATTTAAATGGGAACATTACAATACTTTTAAAAGTACATTTATATTTTAAACATCATCTCAATAAGCTTTCAGTTTTCTTTCATCCATTTATTGCACTTACTCAAAGTACTCCTGGTTTGGACTGAAACCCCTCTACAGTTTTGTATGGACTACAGAGATCCAAACAGGACAATACTTAAAAAGAAGCCTACTTTCCAAAAGACGATAACTATATATTTTTAACACTTTATTTAGTAAGCTAAAACTAAATAAACAGGAATTAATTTATTGTGTGGGTCAGCCAGTAGAAAAGGTAGGAATGGCAGATTGCTATGACTTGTACATTCAGTTTGCATTTGATTATAGTTGTGTGATTAAATAGCTATTTGGGATGTTGATTTCAAAAAGTAGGTCAATTGTGGAAGGATTGCTGTATATGCATAGTTTCCCACTTTATTTCTTGATCTGCAAAGAAAGGGTAATAAAATAAGAAGAGGGATTTTAAAAGACTAGCAACAGTATTCCTCTGCTCCAAATTGATTGATGGTATTAAACTTCAGTGATTATAGTTGTATTTTTATTACATGCCTCTATCATTCAGTGTTGACACTACTGTTCATAAAATAATGTTTTGAAGCACAATAATATCATATTAAACATTTTAATACCAAGGACAAACTTGTGGTAATAACCATATCACAGTAATAATATTAATGAACCACCATAATACAGAAAACACAGTGAACTTGGCTAAAAAATGAATGTATCAGGCACGAACAATCAGACCCATAAATGTAGAGTTTAAACAAGCTACATTGTTCTCTGCCTGTACTACAGGAATCTCCCCAGCCTGGCAATTTTCACTTGGAAAAGGCTAGGTGAGATTCAAAGGCATTCGGTGGGAGTTAAAACTTACTCTCTTGTGTTTACATAATGAGTCCATGCTAATTCCCTGCATGAGCCCTCTTCCCTACTGGGATGTTGCTCTTGAATATCATGTCAAAATAAGAATAGATGCTGATCTGGAGACAAGACATGGGGTAATGCTGCAAATCAAAACCGTATAATTTATGATCTTATAGCTAAATTATAATTTAATAAACTGAGATATGAACAACTGTACATCAGCAATAGATAAGAATAAGCAGTATGTTTATATTAATATATTAAGTCACAGACACGTTTTATAAATCATAGTGGTGTGCCCTTGTAGTAAGCTAAAACTAAATAAACAGGAATTAATTTATTGTGTGGGTCAGCCAGTAGCCTCTAGTAGAGGAAGACAATTGATTAATAAATTTAAAAATGGCATATTTGAGAGGGCTGTAAAGCATTATAAAGCGGTACAAAAGTCTAAGTGCTATTGCTATTGCTATATCTTGCCTACTTTATATTTATAAATTTAGTTTTAGAATT